GGAGCAGAGGCCGTGCCCGGTCCACCTCCACAGGAGCAGAGGTGAGGGTGTGGCCTGGTCCACCTCCACGGGAGCAGAGGGCATGTGGGTGCCCGGCCCACCTCCATGGCAGCAGAGGGCGTGTGGGTGCCCAGCCCACCTCCCACAGGAGGAGAGGGCGTGCGGGTGCCTGGCCCACCTCCCACAGGAGCAGAGGGCGTGCGGGTGCCCGGCATCAAAGGCTCGGGGTTCAGGAAGAGAGGCCCCAGGACCAGATGGACTCTGGAGGATGGGAATGTGGAAAGGGTGGGCAGAGGCCCAGGTCAGGGCCACGTAGCTACACGCGGCCGCCTGGTGGACAGTGCAGGAGCAGACAGCACGCACATCGGCCACAGGCCACAGAAACAGCAGTGAGGACCACTGAGCAGCTGGGGAGGCGAGAGGTCTGGACTCGTGCTTCCCGGGTGGGCTCCGGGGTCTTATTTGCAGTAAAGAGACGCCTGCCAAAGTGTGTGAGGCCAGACCGTGGCTCTCTTAAGACCCCAGATCCAGAGCACCAGCGTGCACAGGTGCGGCAGAGGGGGACGGGGAGGGCCCTGCAGGGGCTCGGGCGAGTACCGCTCACAGCTAAAGGAGGGGCAGGAGACCACGGGAGCCCAGGCCGAGGGCCTGAGCGGGGTGCTGCCTGCTACGAGGGTCTCAGCAGTGCTGGCTTGTGTCCCTGACACCTGGTGGCCGCGGTCTGGAGCACTGACTGCCCCCTCCTGTCCGCGCGGTTACCAGCCTGCTCCCATCATTCACTATGGGTTTCACCAAGTGCTACGGGAGGGAAGAGGGTGTCCTCTGCTTAGGGATTTACGGGCTCTCTTCATGCAGCTGGGAGGTGGCTGGGCCTGACGCCTGCTCCCAGCCATGGCCTCTTAGGACCCACCACCCTGTCTTTGCCACCATTGGAATGGCAGAGGGAGATCCAGCCTGCACCACCCCGCCCCAGGGGTAGGTGTCCGAGGCAGGCCGGGCCACCCCGCTCCGCAGCCACCATGCTACTATGGGGGTCAAGCCAGCTCCAGCTGCTGCTGCGTCATGATTTCTTCCCTGACATAAGGGAGGCGTGCCCTGAGCTCTGACCACACAGCCCCAAGGGCTTTGAGAGCCCGGTGTCCAGGGCGTTGTCAGGTAGGCGGCTGCTCGTGGCACCTAGATGGCCTCCTCTGCTGCGGTGCCACGTCCCCTCCCACCCCGCACAGAGCCATTGGGAGCTGCCACACAAACCCTCAGAGACGAGTCTCACGTCTGTCCCGCCCTGGCCTTTCTGAGAGGAGCCGGGCCCCGCCCAGCCTGCACCGGGCTGCGAGGTGGCCCAGCTTCTCACAGGTTTCTGATGTTTTCTCCCACGGACCGCCCCAGGCTGGGCAAGACCAGAGTGCTGCCCTCTGCGTCCCTCTGCACTGCTGTGCCTGCCCAGGGCCATGAGGGGCCTCGCCGACCTGCTGCCGTCACTCGGAGGAGAAGCTGACCACACCACCTGGGGAGGAGCTGAACTCACTGTACTCGAGGCTGTAGAAGGCGAACCCGTGGCCGGGGTAGAAGGAGCCCCTCTGCACCGCGGAGAAGCACTGCATCTTCGGGTTCACCCTCACCGTCTCCTGGATGGTGGTGTCTTCACCATTTAGCCAGTTCCAGCTCCGCACACAGCCGTCCAGGCGGGGGTTTATCTGGGGAGACAGGCGCCCCAGTGGCCTCTCGGGGCTACGGTACAGGGTTCCGGACCCCAGCCATCAGTCACACATGGGCGAGTCCTGACTTCACACACAGAATGGAGCCCCGCACCACCCCACGAACACGAGGGGAGTGTCCCGGGGCTAAAGCACCCTCTGAGTCTTCCTCGGGTCCCCCCACCAGTCACACTGAGGTGGCGCGCTGGCCCAGCGGGGAGAGGTCGGAGGGCGCCCACACCAGAGCTGGGCCTGCCTTTGTCCCAGGCCTGGGCACCATGCATGGAGGGAGTCCAGGTCCACACTGCCCCCAGCGCACCGGACGTTTGCCACTCTCATGGCTTTGTCCATGAGCCACAGAGGGTGAGCGACATGCCATCCCCAGGGGACTGTCGCCCAGGAGGAAGGTCTGAGGCCAAGGGGCAAGAATGTCCCTCCTTGCACTCCTGCAGGGCATAACCTCCTGTTAGGTGATCAGCCTGGCAGAGACCCCTACGCCCCCCGGCTGTGGTGAGGCCACAACCCCTACGCCCTCTGGCTGTGGTGTGGTCACCACAACCCAACTCCAGGGTCTGGCACTGCTGGGTGAAGAGGGACGCAGATGAGGTCGCGGTGTGGTGGGGAGGGGCTGGGACAAGGCAGGACTTTAAGAATGGCCGACACTGACCTCCCTAGGAGGGTTCTCTCTGTGGACACCTTGAGGGTTCACAGCACAAAGTGTTCCCAGAGGGTCCCTGAACCGCCGGCCACCCCTTCGCAAGAGCCACCCTTGTCTGGTGTCTGCCAGGCAGACGCTTCCTCATCCACGCAGGCGTGGCTCCGTGCGTCTCCATGAGAGGCTGAGGCAGGGCTGCTGCGCTCCTGCGGCTGGACTGCAGGGCCCCGGCCTCCTCCGTCAGCCGACAGGTGACCCTGCTCGGGGCAGCCTCGGGCTCCCGCACTGCGCCGTGACGGGTACTCACGGGCTGGACGAGGTCCTTGTCCTGGAAGGGGATGCCCCCCACGGTCAGGTCCAGATGGTACAGCCCTCGGTGCCACTGGAACAGGTCCCCGGCCACCGCGATTTTCATGACAGCGTCCTTGTTGACCTTGATGACCAGGCTGTGCTCCAGCTCCTCCACTGAGATCTGGGAACACAGAGTGAGGGCGGCGGGGTGCCATCCCCTCCTGGCGAGGTCTGGCCAGCCGTGTCCCAGAGGCCCCAGCCCAGGGGCACACGATGTCACCCAGGTCCCAGAGGCCCCAGCCCAGGGGCACACGATGTCACCCAGGTCCCGGAGGCCCTAACCCAGGGGCACACGATGTCACCTAGGTCCTAGAGTCCCTAACCCAGGGGCCACAAGATGTCACTTGCATCCAGGAGAGCCCAGCCTAGGGGACCATGTTCATGTCACCTGAAGGCATTGTGTTTCATGCCCGTGCACGTGTGAGGCAGGAGGCGGGACAGGCTCCCCCATGGCCACCTCGTCACCTCATAGGGCTGTCTGCAGGGCTGGTCTAGAAGCCAGGGAGAGGGAAGGGCCGGAGAGGGAAGGGCCACGGAGAGGGAGGGGCCAGAGAGGGAGGGGCTATGGAGAGGGAGGGGCTGGAGAGGGAGGGGCCGTGGAGAGGGAGGGGCCGTGGAGAGGGAGGGGCCACGGAGAGGGAGGGGCCGGAGAGGGAACAGACAGCGGCAGAGTGCAGAGGTGACACACACCCGCGTCCATTGCTGTGCGCAGAGGCTGGGAGTGGAGCACAGACTCGAGTGCCCAAGACCGGTGTGCACTCCAGCAACGCACACCTGCTCTGACCCAAATGTCCTCAGTAAAGTGAGCACGCAACGAGACGGTGGCACTGCTCCTGTTCTGAGCAAGGTCCTCAGTGTCCTCTGGCCTGAGGGGTAGCTGGGGACCCTCCAGACACACGTGGGCGCTGTGTCCAGGCCAAAGGCTAGACCACATCAGATGCCCTGGAAGCAGCTCAAATATTAAAGCGTTTCTTTTTTTTGGAGAGTTTTTTTTTTTTTTTTTTTTTTTTTATTTTTTTTTTTTTTTTTTTTTCTATAGGGCCCGTGCGTTCGCCAGATAGGCAGAGAGAAACAGAGAAGCAGAAATCTGCGAGAAATCACCCCCCAGGGGGGATGGCCACGCCACAATCCCTTCTCCTCCAGTTTCCTCTTGGGATCTTGGGCACACACGCACACGCGCCCGGCATGAGTTTTAAGTGATCGGGTCCAGGACGCGAACCACGGTCGACTACATGGGAGTCCAGCGACATAGCCATTACGCCAACTGCTGGTCCCTAAAGTGTTTCTTATTGCAAAACACAGAGATGCTTGTAAAACGTGGCTTGGGGAATCTTCCCCAGTAAATGTGTGGGCATGGGCCAGGTGGAGACCCGGGTCCTCTCGCTCGGCTCCACTGTCCCGCTCACGGCACCCATACCCTCGCTGCGTGGCTGTGACCGCAGTACCGCAAACCCCCAGGGGAGCACCGGCCCCGGGTCTGCACCCCACAGGGACCCCTCCTGGCTTTGTCCTTCCCGCCCGGCCTGCCTGCCTGGCTGGTGCTGGGAGACCACCGCATTGTCACATGGACAGCTCCCTCCTCGCTCTGCCATGTCGTCCTCGACCTCTAAGTGTGTCACTCCTAGACTGGGCTCCTGCCGGCACTTCCACGTCCCTGCTCCAGCCGGGGGCCATCTTCCCCGACAGCATACGGGCACCGTGTTGGAAGGGCTCGGCGGAGAAACAGCTGCGACTCTTCCTTGCAGAAGCGGCTCTGCCGACTGCCTGTGTGCCAACACGCTGGGCACCACAGACCAGCTTCTGGTGAGAGCGTCACAGCCACGTGGACGACTCCAGGCCTGGGGCCATGGGAGGAGGAATGCTGCTGTCCCTTCCCTCTCCGCCCCTTCACACCCCACTGGCCTTCCCATTCCGGCCCAAGCCAGCACAGCTCTGGAGTCTATCGGCTTCCTCAGGGGCCGGAGTTCACACCTTGGGCTGAGTCTCCCTCCCACACCTGCGCGTCGGCCTCTTCCCTGGCACTTTCTCCAGCACATCCCTCTCAAGGGCCCTGTCTCTGTGCCCTCGAGGGGACTAGACATCTGTCCTGGACACTCTAGGCTGTGGGGCTGACGGTGCACTCTGAGCTGGCGGATGGCTAGGGACCGCGCCAAGGAAGAAGCTGCAGGGCACTGGACCAGACAGACAGGCCTACTGCACCCCAGACCCCACCCTCCCTGGGGCGCTGACCCCCGTGCTCGAGTGACAGCCCCAATTCTGAGAACAGCACTCCCAGCCCCGCCTGCAGTGTGAACACAGCTCAGCTCACACGGGAGGCCTGGTCCGCTCAGTCTGCCCTGCGCCTTGGAGGGTACTCCTCACTGTCGGCAGGGGCCCAGGCTTCTCTCCAGAGGGGTCAGCTTGGTCACGAGCAGAGAGGTGCCGAGGGGTTGTGGCCGCCGGTCCAATGGCCCGACTGACGGACAAGGCTGACCCCCACCAGGCCCTGGGCCAGCCCAAGGGGCTCAGGAGCAGTCCCTGTGCAAGGGGAGACTGGCAGGCTCCCCGGGCCGCTCAGGGCCCCCAGAGCCCTAACCCTGGCCCTCACACCGCTTGGCCTCGGCCAGCCTCCTCGGACACCGCCCGCCCCCACACTCGCTGTCCTGCAGGCCGAGGCAGAACACGGTGGACTTCTGCACGCTAGCAGGTCACCGAGCCGCAGAGTGACACGGCTGAGCGGCGAGACTGCCGGGATGTTTGGGCAGGACCCTTTCGAGTGGTCACTGTACCCGCCAAGCATCTTCTCCCTGCCCACTCGGGCACCTGCTGTAGGTGCTCGGGTCAGAGAGGGGCAGAGGCAGAGCCAGCAGGTGGCATAGTGGTTCCATCACTGGACTCCCACGTAGTTGACCGCGGTTCGGGTCCCAGACCCAGTGGCTTAAACTCATGCCAGGTATGTGCACTTGTGTCCCAAATCCCAAGAAGATGGAGGAGAAGGGACTGCAGTGTGGCCATCCCCCTTGGGGATGATTTCCCGCTCTCTGTCTCTCCAGTGAGCACATGAACCCTATAGCAAAAATCTTTTTCTAAAAAAAAGGGGGTATGTGTCAGAGGCAGGGTGTGGTTGGCAGGTGGGACTGGCGGGGGGCAGGAGGCTGGGAGGCCACTCACATCCGGGTAGGGGGCTGTGGCAGAGCCCACTCGCTCCTCCCTCTGAGCAGCCCTGACACCTCTGAGCCTTGCCCATTAAGGGGCCAGCAAAGGATCGGGCATTATGGGCCAGTGGGGACAAACAAAAATGCCCACAGGCATGGGTGTGCAGAGGCAGGGCGTTCCACCCCACCCTGCGCCTGGAAGGCAGGGCACCTCCTCGCTTCTCTCTCAACATGCCCTCTGCAGCGGTTTGGGCAGGGACCCAGGTGTGGTGGCAGGGGGGCGTGGGCCCCTTCCCGACGGCCACAAGGACCCAGGGGACGCCACAGGAGGCAGCAGCCCTTGGGAGCTCCAGAGCAGTGTTGTGCAGCCCTGCCCTCAGTCCTCGCTCCGCTCCGGAGTGACAAACAGAACAGCCCCCAGACGTGGCAAGGTGGCCCTGAGGCTAGGACCCTGAGGCCAGGCTGGCAGCTGTTCTGAGGGACCACACTTGGACACATGGCAACTGAAGGAGCACAGGGCGTAGCAAGGTGGGGACCCTGCTGGCGGGTGGGGCTGC